TGGTGACATGTCTTCCTAATTTAACTGCATCTCTAGGGGGCCTAAGCAAATTAGATACATAATCAACCAGTTTTACAAGGCACCCCAGTTAGGTTTATGGGCAAATCTAGGATTTTGAAAAAGGAGGTACATCATCATAGATAAAACAACACATTTTTGTCCAGTGAAAAATAAACTAGAAGCTTTACTAGTATGCTTAGGGCATAGAGCTGTATTATTCTGTTTGAGATCGAATCAAAAACAAATATAACTTCATTGGAATGAGTTAAAAAAAACCAAAATCTGCAGGGCTGTGAAATGGGAGCTTCATTGCCAGGACCAACTAACAGACAGCAGAATCAAAGCAAAGGATAGCTTGACTGGTAGAACATCAAGGCCATTACAAAGAACAGAGGGTTGATAACACCTGTGGACTGAAGAGTTTAGAAGGGATCGGGTAGAGTATAATGAGCCATGAAGTCAAGTGACTCCCTTAGCACCACCTGACTAGTAATGCTGCTGCTACTGCCAGGCAGGTGGTTTTAAACTTTGGTTGGACCAGGAATGAAGTGGGGGAGGGAGGGAGGTAAGGGTGCAAGTACACCAGTGTACCCGTCTTGGATCTGTCCCTGGTTAGATTACTCACTTCTGTCTGGGGTAAACTGGTATTTTTATCTATATGAAGGTTTCACCAACATTTTCATATGTCATAGCTGTTTGTTTATGTCACTACAATCTTAGGTGATAAGCAATACCCGATTTCCAACAATGCTTTATTTCAAACCATAACCCATGAAAACCTAAATTAAATATGCACAACTTTGGGGTGAAAAATATATTTGATCACACTAGACACCAAAAATAAACCTTGAATAAAATTCTCCTGCCCACTTCCCTTCATGCTTTTGATGGACAAGGAAAAAATCATTAGATTTTATCATCAATGCTTGGAAAGTAAGTATATGACTGGGTGGATAAATCAACTTAGCAAAACTGTCACAAAGTTAAGGCATTTCAGATTTTGCTTTCCATTAACTTGAAGAATAGAAAATTGAAGATGAAATGTAATGGTTTTTACCTTCTTAATTTTTGAAGTTCTTTGAAGAGGATAAATTAGATACAAAATGCTCACTAATGGAGCAATCACACTAACAGATTTCATTGCATCTTTGCATATTTTAAAAGCAGTTTGCTACTTTTTAAAAGAAAAACAAATCTCATTAGTTTGAGAAAATGAATGAAAGGGAAAAGAACAAACCTTTTCAAGCTCTTGAATAGGTAAAAGCAGTAAGCTGAAAAAGTAATTACCAAATATCTAAACAGGTTTGATTTGACAGACAGTGGAGCTAAATTTCCTCTCAATTTATATCAAAAATGAAAATCTATCAAGATTCAAGCTCATAGGTTTGCAATAAACTTAAAGAGGTGCTTATTTCTATATTAAAAAAGGAACTTTTCTCCCCCAACTTTTCAAACTATCAGAGGTTGGTTAATTTTTTTTATGTAGCAGAAAACTTCAAAGTTTCTGACTATTCACAGCTATTTTACATGATTGTGCACTAACGGAAACCGCAACTCTTTGAAGTTAAAAAGTAATATGCAATCAAGCCCAGAAGCACAAGTGTACATTTTGTTTGGAACAAAATTGTGTTCGTTCATCATCTTGAGCTGTTTAGCAATCATTTTTCTCCAGAAAGAAATTGAGTATTTGACTTGCACTAAACTGCAGATTACAGAAGAAGGTATATGGCATAATTGTTTTAAAATGTGATCCAACAATCACATATAAATAGTGCTTTAAAAGTCTGTGCACATTACCTTAGTTGTCCTCTTAAAGAAATTGTTTGTTAACATAAAACATTGTGTGGTGATAAACCAGACTCTCTGAAACAACTTCAGTATAGGTTTGTAATTCATAGTCCAAGACTTTAGGTGTTTGTACTTCAAGTCTTTTGACACCATTAGGCTCTAATGCTCTAAAAGCAATTTGACCACACCCATGCCATATCCTACCACCTTAAATTAGTCAGGAATCTATCTGTATAGGATGAAGGTCTCCAACCTTAAAGATGATAAAAGTATGGATCCCTCCCAGTGCTGCTGAGCCCTTCATGTCAGTTATTTGGTAGAATGGAAAGTTTCAGGTGCTGATACATCCACAGTTCCCTGGAAAACAGTATTAACAGTGAACCCAAGCTTGCACTCACTGAAGTCAGGGAGACACCTGAAATACAATGGCAAAAACCTACCGTATATTCCCTCCTGCCTAGGAAACACCCAAAAATGAACAGGACCCAGCTGAATAATTCCATGTTCCCCAGCTCCACAAGCAATTGGGACAGTCACCTATGGTCTAGAATTAAAGGAATCCAGAGATCAGCAACCCTCTCTCTCTCTCTAAAAAATAAAAATAAAAACAAAATACATCAAAAGCAACAGTAACAAATGTGATAGCCCAGCTGTTATTATACACATCATGAAGAACGCATTTGTCTGGAGCCCTGGTTCTTCACACCAGCTGGGACCATAGCAAAATCCCTGCCTGAAACAAAGGAAAATTCTCATCTAATACCGAGTGGACCAAGGGTTGAGTGACTAAGGGCTTTGCAGCTCAGATTTGCCCACACTGGAAAACCTAGCTGAGGTTAGCTAATAAACCCTGACCTAACCTTAGCCTGGTGCCACCACTGTCTTCCTTAGGTGTAGATACATTGCTTTGCTACCTGTTTAAGGCTCCCTCTACATGTTACAGGTATTGCACAATGAACTGGTTATAACTGCACAACTACCTTGAGACCAGCTACAAGAGCAAAGTATCTATCATGCTGTAAAAAGCTCCAACCTGCTATAAAGTTAGACCTTGAAAATGTGTACCAACTTTATAGTTGGTTGCTATCCAGTTTTTATTTGCATGTGTAGCAGGGTCTCCCCTGTGGCTGGGAGCTCCACCAGCTGAGGGGCTCCAGCTGCAGGGGTGCACCATGCCCACAGCCAGGGCTGGGAGTCGCACAAGTGAGGGGACTCTCTGCCCCAGCGGCTGCAGATGCTGGCAGGAAGCATGATTGTGTTGATCACATATTAGATCCCACTGCACCTTTCCCTGCATGTGTAGAGGGGCCCTAAGTTGCGGTAAGACACCCTCTAGAAGAAAACTTTTGGTCCAGCCATAACCACCTATCCCATATACTGTTTGACCTATTCCATACTTTTGAACCATTTTTCTAGTGCAAGGTGCTACTGTAGTTGTACCCTCTACCAGTTTCCCAATTCTTTATTTTTAAAAGTTAGAGACAGCAACAAGAGGATTTTAAATACATCTGGTGCGACACAGGCAGACTGGGAAATGCAGGAAGCAGAATCGAGCTGTGGCAACTGGAGTTTCAGGAGCAGACTATTCATGTGGAACAGCCCTCATCCAGACTACAGCTCCCTTCACCAGTCCACAATTGGGATGACTCATGGTAGTGCCATCAATTCCAGTCAGAATTAGGCATTTCCTATACTTTTTATTCACCTCTCTGCTCCTCTCTTCCAGATCATGCTGGCCACAGGCATGTGAGCAGATATGTTTGGAGGATAGAAACGGTTTTGTCCATGATTTCAGAGTTTGGCTTTATTCTCCATCACAGCAAAACCAGAAAGTTTAGTTTTCTTCCACGTAAACATTTCAAAACAGATAAGTGGTTGTTTCAAGTAAAATCAAAACATTTCATCTAGATTGACTTCATAGGTTTTGCATAATACAGATTATGTTTTGAAACAAATAATTACAAGTAAAAACTAAATAACAATGCTTGGTTCCCAAGATGTATAAGTGGGATATATTGATATTGCTAGAACTGTTCCCACCCCCATATGGGAATTTAATCTTGGACGGGGGGGGCAGAGAAAAAACAAAACAAAACTTACCCCAATTTTGTAAAACGTTTCAAATTTGGCAGAACAGTACCCAATGACAGACAATGTTTCTATGTAAGCTTCTCTGCCCAGATGCATCATGGAATATTCTCTCTGCTGCCAGCACTGGTTGCTGGTGTCCTGGTGGCAGAAGCAGCCTGACATTCCTCTTTCCTTCCGTTCTTCTTTCAACTCCATGTGTAAAACTTGAATTGCATAGGGCTTACTAAGTGAATGGAGGACTGAAGTGTTGCAAGTCCAGCGAAAGAAGATTCTTTGTTGGAATACAGGAACTTCCATGGACTGACAAGCCAATAGAATGAGGCTCACTTTGATAGGACCTTGTGATCCCAAGCAACTCAAGGGATCACCAAATGTATCCCAGGCTTTCCTGTGTTCCGAGCAAAATTGAATCCTGCACCCCCCCTCCCTTCCGTCAACCCACCAGCATGTCTTTGGAAGTTATTTACATCAGCATTGAGGAATCATTGGGCTGAAGGCTGTTTACATTGAAGGAAGGAATCTTACAGCCACACAACCATCCTGATACATTTTCTTTGCAGAAATGAGGAACAATTACATAGCTGCCCAGAGATCAACATTTTCATCTTTAGATGGACACCACAGGTTCAGATCCATCACAGGTTGGTAGTGACCAGGGCCCATGAGGTAGAGCAATTTTTCTCCAGTTCCAGAATCTACATTTTAATTCATACGAAACATAACATTTCAGAGGAGATATATCCAGTCAGCCCTTACCAATTCAGCATCTCTCATATACTTGGAGTGGGTCTCATTATTAGTTTAAGCCCATCATCAGAGTGATGGGGGCAGCTTTGATTGCCACTGCTCAATCTGCAGTTCTGCTGTGGATATTTCCAGGGATTTCAAACAGGTTTTTTCCCCTCATGTGCATGACATTTACTTCAAACTAAAACAAGAAAGCAGCTATGAAATAAAGTGCATGGTATTTGTATTTTTAAAAAGTTGCATATGTATTTTAACAAGGACCAGTTTGGGATCAAATCTGAAGTGAGGTGTATTTTTGTGCTATTCCCACAAAAGCAGCTGCATTGTAACTCAGAGCCTCTGTCAATTTGGGCTAAATAATTACAAACACTCCGCCAAGAAAATGGATCATTTACTTCAGTCACATATAAAAATTAAAAAACATAATACAGAAGAATAGAGAATATGAACACACATCTAACCACATTTTAAAAAAAAAAAAAGGAATTTAAAGGGCTACAAGGATAAAAGAAAAATGTGATATGTACAGTCAACAAATAAGTTAGCAGGGTTCCAAAGCAATACGCTCTTATTCTATGAGATTCTCTCTTTGCTATATGGCTGTCAAATATAAAAATACTCACAGCAGATCTTATCTTGTCTCTGTAAAGAATGCTCCCATCAACAGTAGTTTTGCCAACATGAAGTATGAAGACTGGACTTACATGCTAGCTGATGTAATATTTTTTCCCCTTGGGAAAGGGAACTTGTCCCAGAAATCAGCATCCATTCTCTTGCAGGAAACCACTGTTGAGTGCAACTTATATGCACTGTTAGCTGTGTTAGTGTACTCTGAAGTGTCAGATTCACTCCTGTGTGATTTGCTCATGTGAAGACAGCTAGTGCCAGAAATTAGCAGAACTGCAGATGTATGCCAAGTTCTGAAGTACCCAGATGATCATTCAAGAATGATCAAAGACATTCTGAAGTTTTCATCATTTAACTCCACCCTAGCTACTTTGCAAATTAAGTTTAGCAAAGGAAAAAAAAATGCACTGGTAACTCATCCAGGCTCAAAATGTAATTCTCTTTATTATATTTTTAACTGAAATGTAAACCTACCAAGTAATAACATGTTTTTATTCCCATTCTTTATATGCAGCAAAATAAATTAAGTGAAAATAAATAAACCCCAGTTTAGGAAAGAAGTTTAAACACATTTCAACATCAATTTTGTACCAAAAATTTAGTTAAAATGTTAAATAAAAACCAGATGGCTCACTGGCAAAAATCTGGAAAGAAAAAATTGGCCTATACTGCATATTTTACAGTTTGTTGTCCAAAGTACAAAATACAGGATCTTGCCTAATAAGTTGCAAAGATTTACAGGCAGGTGATGATATGGCTTTGCATATTTATATATTAAAAAAAAAATTCACTCAACATTTCCCCCCGGCAAAAAAGGAGACAGATCAAATAATGTTGTCCAGGTGGAGATAGAATTATTAAACTGCACTGATAAAAAAAAGATGGTAGAAATTCAGTTATCTGACAAAAATAACCATAGCTATTTTGGGAATTAAAGACCAAAGAGGAAATTTTCAAATGGCATTAAAATACCCTGGTGTCTCAATATACAAGTAGAGAGGGATATAAACAAGCACATTTCTCCATTGACAGTGCTAAAGATGAGCAGAACATCTTTAGTACATAAACAAAGGCACACTTAGCTGACGTTTCTCACAATCTGTTACTTGCAATTTTGTGGGGAAATTATTTTGTGTGTGACATTTGTATGAAAGTGCTACTGGTTCAAGTAGAATGAATGGCTACTGGTAGTTAGGATGCAAAAACATTTAAAACAGATGGTGGAATCTTTGTCTAATTAAAGTCCTCATCCAATGAGACCAGGACTTCAGCCTGAGACTATTATGATTGCTTATTGCAGACAGTTACCATCAGCAAGTTATAACATTTATTCTATTAATTATGTCATACTTCTAATATTGTTATACCAGTGATAGCTCATGGTGGACATGTGAAACTAGATCTTAAAATTGTCAAGTCCAGAGCCATGTGCAAAAGGGCACAAGTAACCAAAGTAACTGTATAGGTAGACAAGTTAGGCACTTTTACAAGTTAATAGGTAAACTTCTGACTGTGAAAACACCCGCATGGAATTCTGAAAGCTGCATATGGAAATTAAGAAGGCAGTTACAGGCCTGTTTTGTGAATCCTTAATTCTAGAAATCTGGCTATGGTTTTAAATTATATACCCACTAAAGTGCAGGCTGACCAAGGTTTTTCAAATTAAATTCTATTAATTTTGTAGTGTGGGGCTGTCAAAAGCAGCACCTAAATTGACTTTTGAACACAAGTTCCACTGGAAGTTAACAAGAGCTATGCTCCTATGCCACTTAAACGCTTTTGAAAATCCCAACCTAAAGTTGTAATAAATATCTAGATAATCTCTGCAGGTTCACCTATACCTGTGCACCCAATATGACTACATGTTTTAAGTGGAACACATTTTTTCACTTTATCTACGGAAGTCAAAAAAGTAAACAACTCTTGCAAGTCAAACACGAAGACTTGCCCCATGATTATTTCTTCATAGCATCCTCTGTTAGTAGTAGGACTAAGAACATGACAGATAGGAAGATAAAAATTCCATTGACTTCTGAATGGGAGTTTTTATGCTCTCAAAAATTACTGGTTTTGCAAAAAGTAAGGCAAATAGGTGATCTTCATTGTTGATGTACACAATATTACCAAAATGGTTTACCATTTACTGGAAGATGAGAAAATTATACCCCTGGTTCTGGACCGCAAGAGCAGAAACCCACAATAATGTCCACGGGCAAACCACAGGGTAGTGGCATATGCTGCTTTTCAATTACTTATACGAATAAGCTGCTTTGGCTAATTTGGGAGACAGAGGTTAAGAAAATGCCATACATTATGCCCTCCTAGGCATTAGGGAAACGAGCCAACTTTCAGTAAGAACATTCCAATAATTCAGAGCTGCTTGAGTCAGTGGTGTGGGTCACAATCTTCCAACATCAAGGACATTCAAGGAGGCATTTTTTGTTTCCTAGTTCCATTTCTCAGCAAAAATCATTTCCTGTGATTTGAATAATCCATCTCTTATAATAATCCATGGCTTTACAGGAAAAGAAAAGTTGTATCTTTGCTGTCTGTTTCCAAAAGAGGAGCACCTACATTCATGAATAGCATACACTATTGCTAGGTTTGCTAAACGTTCATTCGAAATTGAAAACAACCAGTTGAGGTTTTAAAATATATATATCCCATGTCAAAACATGCTGAAAAGTCTCCTCTTCTGTTTTTCCTCCCTCTATAGCATGCAAGAGAGCACTTCCTTTCACAGAGTTTTCTTCTCCCATATCCACACTAGTCACATGTTTTTGCACACATTATTCCATAGACCCTTCCTGTTCCTTACTTTCCAGCAAGGACACACTCACATCTCCATTACTCTTTGCATTTGTGTCTCCATTACTCTGGGAGTCCTCTGGCTTATGGTGTGCAAAAGTGTAGATCTCAGCATCTGTCAGTGTCAAGGATGGAAGGTCCTGTGTGTCAGACACCTTAGCCTCTTTCCTGAAAGAGAATGGAGGTGGGGTAGGTGGTACATCACCAATGGGTCCATCAAAAGGCCGGTACACATCTACTTCTGGATCAACTGATCCCTTGGATTCCTTCAGCAAGTGTCCATAGACCATGGCTTCATCAATGACTGCATAAACATGGGAGTTGTTATCCTCTCTCCTCTTTTTGAAAAAGGCCTGTTTTCGAGGCATTCGGGTATTGATGTTGGCATTGTACACCCCCACGTTGGCACTGTACACCCCCACGTTGGCATTGTACACCCCCACTGCAGGATTCTGGTTTTTCTTCTTCCTGGTATAAAGGCAAGATTAGTGTATGAGAAACACTATGAACAGTACACTGTTTGTGCATTTAAACTCTACATTGGGAATCATTTGTTGCTAGCCAACCCATATAGATTGTAGGCTCTGTACTCTCAATATTAAATACTAGAAGTACTGTAACTCAGCCTCTCTTAGAAGCTATTGTATGCACAGCAGCAGAGAACAACATCTTGTGCATAACAGAGCAGCAAATAACATTAGACACGATATTTAGTTCCATTAGGGTTTTAGTAAGCCCAATGGCATCCATCTTGAGGTTTGTAATGGAAATGCTAGTAGTCCATAGTGAATTTGATCCTACAGCATGTGGGGCCCATTTCACTCACAGACATCAATGGAGGGTTTTTTGAAGTTGTGTGTCCTTCAAGCCTAAAACCTCTACGTATTTTCTCAACAGGGCAGAGGAGCATTTGCAGGTAGCAAGGGAGTTAAGAGGAATAAAACGTTACTATAAAAAGGTAAAATGCCCTGAACTTTATGCCCAAGGTCAAACTAATAAAGAAGCCCACAAATTATCTAGTTTTGCTTCAGGTGAAAAGCTTTTGCACAACTGTAGTCATTGTACAGCACAACTTCTTGACAGTTTCAAATTTAGGACACGCATCTCTGAACACTGAATGTGCATGTGCTACCCCCCTGGCTCTAATAAGAATGCTCATTTGAATAAAATTATGAGTATTTTGCTGGATCAGATCCCTACCCAAAGAGCTCAAATTTTAGCTAAAAATGCTCAGCCAGGTTCTGTCAAACCAAAGAGAATTTGCTATGGAGCTGGCATAGAGGCTAGCTGGATCTTGCTGAATCTGGCTCCTGTACATTCCACCTTCTTCTCACTGCATATTGAAGATGCCTCCAGTTTGTTTTGCCTGTAGGCAACAGCCCGTTATAACTATGCAGTAACCTAACAGTACTGACTCATCAAACTGTAACTTCCTTAAATCCAGGATTACGAAATCAATTCTGTTCTTGCATGCTACTCAAAGTAGTGATGCACAAACCAATCCAATTATTTCATAATTTGTATGATGCATCAGAAGCAAAACAGGGAAGCTTGTTTAAAAAAAATGACTGTATAGAATTTTCAGAGAAAACAGCTAAATTAACTTGACCACTTCTAATGAAATTCAGCTGATACCTATTTTTGGTGAAATCGCATGAAAAACTAAGACCAATGCTACTGAAAAAGTACCTTGTAAGAAGTTATTTACAACGATACATTGCAACAGCATTAGTACAGGAGTCTCTCTCTGTCTCACTGTTTTTTTGTTTAACCATCTGTTGTACTTGCCTGCCTTCCATATCCCACTGTTTATCCCAGACCCCCACTCATGGATCAACTATTTATCTAATGCAAGAAACAAGGACAGGACCCATACAAAAAAACCTCTTTTTTAAAATGTGTCTAACACAGTATCTCAAGTAAGCAACTTACTTCTTCCTAATGCAGCAGATGATGAATCCAATGGCTATGAGTAGTCCTGCCCCCACCACTGCAGCAATTATCACCACCAAATCTATAAAAGGAAGGAGAGAGAGAAATTAAGCAATCAGTGAGGTAAGACAGTCTCCTTCTCCTGAAAACCAACTGCCAGATGGAGTCACTTCACTGCTACCAATGTGCTAGCTCTGGATAAAGAACTGATAGCTCCTTTGCTGCTAAACTTGCCTTGTACGTGTCACATGCTTCCCCATCCAATCATCCAGAGGCATGAAGAAGGGGCAAGAGTTAAAGTAGAAAGGAGCTAAGTTACCACCTAAAATGGAAGCAGCATAGCAATGGCCATGTGGGTAGGCTAATTACCGTATGGGTAAGCTGAGTGGCACTGATGCTTAGCTATGCAAATTAGTCCATCCCTGGTGTGGGGTAGGCAAGACTGTTTGGTGAAAGGTGTACCACCAGAAACAGCAAGTTTGCCAGATGGGCATGGCTTAAGGTTAGCAGTCTGTGAGAATAGTCTATTTTAATTAAAAACAAGCAAGAAAATTAAAGACTCTTAAATGAGTCCCTTCTAGAGTGAAGGACAATGTATTATTTGAACAATGTGGCAACTAGCTGTAAAACTAAGATGACACTAATTTTTTTTTCACAATGTATTTAAAGATATATTTAAAAGCCAGCATGCCCAGAAGGCACAAGAAAGTAAAGCAGCATTTTCTACTCCTAAGGTCACAGACCTGTTTAATGACTGAGGACCTGATCAAGCAACATTGTTGTCACAGCAGCCCTTACTTATGTGATAATCTATTAAGTACAGTAGAACAGCTCACAGGAGTATGATCTAGCTTGGCTATTCTGCTTGAGCATACCACTTTGGACACTTCAAGCTCTGCCCATCCTAATATCTCCTTAAACCATGTAGAAAACTTTTTTATTCAATATGTTGAAAACCTCGTTTCTAGCTTGGAGAGTATTTTAACAGTAACAGTTATAGTACCTTGCATGTCTTTCATCTAGAACAGGGGTTTTAAACCTTTTTTAATGTGTACCCTCAGCAGCCGGAGAAGGGGGGATACACACACAGCCAGATGAGTGGAGCAGGGGAAGGGGTTCGGTGCATGGCCGGATGTGAACAGGGGAGGGTGGCAGTAGCCATGCATGGAGCAGCAACAGCATAGGGTGGTGGGTAGCAGCAGCGGGTTCCACATGCTGTCATGTGACAGTGACCACAAAATGATAGAGTGCAAGATTCTATGGGGAAGAAGGAAGGAAAGCAGTAGAATAAAGGCACTGGACTTCAGGAAAGCCGACTTCAGCAAACTCAGGAAACTGGTGGGCAGGACCCCTAGGAGGCAAGTCTGAGAGGATAAAGACTCAAGGAAAGTCGGCTGTACTTTAAGGAAGCCCTCTTATGGGCACAGGAACGAGCTATCCCAGGCAACGGAAGAATGGAAAATGCAGCAGGAGACCACCCTGCCTAGGTAGCAGCATCTTCAGTGAAAAAATTGGTCACAGTAGTATAGAAGAGTATAAGAATATTGCACAGGCATGCTAGGAGCAAACTAAGAAGGCACATTTGAGATACAGCTGGCAAGAAACATAAAAGGCAATAAAAAGGTATCCTAAAAATATGTCAAAAGTAGAAGGAAGACAAGAGATACTAGAAGTTCCTTACAGAAAGAAGGCAGCAATATAGTTACAGATGATACATAGGGGGCAAAAAGAAGGTACTGGGTCATGTGGGGCCCCTGCAAGACACGCTAGGAAATCTGGTCATTACACCAGATGACAAAGCTAACCTATTTAGTAACTTCTTTGCCTCCACTTTCCTGAGCAGGGACCGGATCAGCACCCCCACTGGGACCCCCTCAGGTAGCAGGGGAGGCGCACCTAGGCCAAGGGTCAGTGAGGATCTAGTCAGGAAACTTCTGGAGGGACTGGACAGATTTAAATCAGCTGGTCTGGACAATCTCCACCCCAGAGTGGTGAGGGAATTAGCTGAGGTCATTGCGGGACCCCTGGCATGGCTTTACGAGCACTTGTGGTGCTCTAGTGTGGTGCCAGAGGACTGGAAGAGGGCCAATGTGGTTCCCATCTTCAAAAAGGAGGAAGGAGGACCCAGGAAACTATAGGCCAGTTAGTCTTACCTTGATCCTGGGTAAGCTTTTTGACAGAATTATCCTGGCACATGTCCACCAGGGGCCAGCGGGGGAGGTTATGCTTAGGGGCAACCACCACAGGTTCATTAGAGGCAGGTCCTGTCAGACCAACCTGGTGGCCTTCTATGACCAAGTCACAAAATCCTTAGATGCAGGGGCAGCAGTGGACGTAGTCTTTCTGGACCTTAGGAAGGCCTTCGACACGGTCTCTCACCCCGTTCTCATTAAAAAATTGGGGGACTGTGGTGTCGACACCTACACAGTCAAATGGGTCACTAACTGGCTGGAGGGCCGCACCCAGAGAGTGGT